ATGGGCCAGTGAAGCAACGTCCTCCACAACTAGACTGAAGAACAAAAGGACAGCAACTTGTCTATTCCCCTTCCCCTGATTCCCCAGCGCTGTTCTCCTCCCTCAATTCCCCAATAAGACCTTTAAAAAAAATGTTTCTAGTACCCACACTAAAAGTACTAAAAAGAAAAGTGAAGTTAATATTAATAATTTATTTAATCCAAGATCGATAAAAATATTATTCGACATGTAATCAATGTTAAAAAAATTAATCTGATCTTTTATTTTCTTTATTTTTAAAAAAATTCTGGTATGTATTTCATATTTACTATACATAGTAATTCAGACCAGCCACATTTCAAGTGCTCAGCAGCTGCATGTGTGTTGTGGCTATTGTACTGATGGCATAGCTTTAGGCTCAGTACTAGACAGTATAGCCTAATGTTTAAGGGCTATATAAAGTAATAAAGCCTAGTGGTTTGGCTCTGGAACCAAACTGCCTTGTTGAATTCCAGCCCTTCCATTTACTGCCTGCCCATCTTAAGGAGAGTTGCTCCACCTCTCTGTGCCTTTGTTTCTCATTTGTAAAGTGGGGATGATAATAATATTACTATTTTATAAAGTTGTCAAGGATGAAATGAGTTAATATTTACAAAACAGTTTCAGGTATTTATCGTAAATGCTTGCCAAATGTTAACTATTTAGTTAGGCCCGTCTATTTCCATCCACACTTTCTAGGGAATCCATCCACTCCCATAGCTTTAAGTGCCACCTAATGATTTCTAAATTTAAATACCCAGCTTAGACCTCTTCTTTGAGCTCCAGACTCCCTATCTATCTGTGCACCCCATTTTGATGACCTGTGGCATTTCACATGTACATACCCACAACAGAGCCCTTGACCTTCCTCTGCAAATTTGCTCCACTGCCTGTCCTTGCAATCTCAGTCACACAGGGCAGACATCTGGGAAGCATGGTGGATTTCTGCCTTCCAGGGACTGCAGAGTACACGGATTGTGCAACTCTGTGTTGCTTGAGGTTTCCACGCCACTGGCATGTGCCCACAGAAGTTACATGAGGGCTGAGCGCACGTGGAAGAAGCGTCCATAGGTGTGTCTGGGGTGACCACCAGGGCCTCCTGAGGAAGCACGGGCTGTAGGTACTGACTGCTCGTGACAGCTGTGTGTCTGTATGTTTGTGTACTTGGCCAAGTGGCTGTGTCTGTGGACATGTATGGAAGGGGGCAGGGGAATGTTCTTTCCCACCACCATATTCTAGTGTCCGCAAGGTCTTGCTGTAGGGGTGAAAGGGCAGTCATTTTCAGATGACCAACCCCATCCTCCAAAGGAAGAGGCGGCTTCCTCTGGGTCCTGGTGGGTGAGTCAAAGGGAAGGAGTTCTCTGACCCACCACATCAAGCCCGCCTTCCCAAGTCCTCCTCCCTGCCCATGAAGTCCCCTTCCAGAATGCTCCCACGTGCTTCTCTCTCAGCCTGAGGGCCTTCTCTGAGGTACTGGCCCCTGAGGATGGCAGGTGAATCTCTGAGAATCTTCTGTGATTCCCCGTCCCTAGGGGCAGGGCCGCTGGAGGCCCCACTGAGTGAACAGTTTGGTCTGTTGGAAGGAGGCGGGAAGGTGCCTCCCTGCCCCCCTTTTAAGGCCCTTCCACACCTTCAGAAAGCCCTCTCCTGGCGCTCCTGGCCTCCCGACAGCTCCGCCTCTGGTGCACTGGAAACTGATTCCCAAAGACAGCTCTCACCACCACCACCACCCAGTTAGGACTTCAGGCACCTTGGTCAGAGCCTGTTCTGCTCAGGTGGTGCAGCCACAATTTCAGCAGTCCCTTTTGGAGATGACAGCCGCCTCTCACAGGTTTGACTCCTTGATCGCCCCCCCCACCCCCCACCCCCCACACACACTCCACTTGCTTTGGACCCCTGTGGGAGAAGCTGCTGGGGATTCTTGTCGAGGATCAGGCCACAGCCATCCCCACCAACCTCACCAAACCGGACGTGTCTGCCGCCCCCAGAACCCCAAGAGGCAGAAGCCTGCGGGGTCGACCTTGGCACAAGCTGGGGCGTCGCAGAGCGGCGCCTCCACAGATTGGCAGCGTCCGGGGCGAACTAGGGACAGACGGAGACCCCTGGCGTCCCTGGGGGGCCTCCTAGGGCACCTGCCCAAGGCCACCCAGCGCGCGGCGGCCGAGGCGGCGGAGCAGAGCCGGACCTCCCAGCCGTCGGTGGGGGCGGCGACCGCCCGAGGCCTTCCCACGGCTCCGCCTGCGCGTCACCGCGGGGGCGAGGGGGCGCCGGGCCGCCCGGAGCTGCGGCGCAGGAAAGGGCCCTGGGAAAGGGCGGTGGCGGCGCCCCCGGGGCGGGGCCAGGGCGGGGCGGGGCGGGGCCGGCTTTCCGGCTGGGAGCCTGCACCGCTCTGCTGAGACCTGGCAGCCTGAGCTCGCAATGAAGCGGCCCAGGGAGCCCAGCGGCTCCGACGGCGAGTCCGACGGACCCATCGACGTGGGCTGCGAGGGTGAGCTTAGGTAAGGACCGGGGTGGGGGACTGGGTGTGCCGACGGGCTCAGCGACCGCGGGGACTAGTCCTCGATGCGGCCTCGGAAGACGCAGGTGTGGGCGAGGGCCCCGCAGACGTGTGTGTGGCGGGTGAGGTGGGGAGGAGCGTGTGCAGCGTGTGTCGTTACACGCACGAATGCCTGGGGTCCTGTGCGCCCTTGGCCATTTAGGGCTTGGGATGGAGGTAGCGTCAGCTTGTGGATCTGATGTCCAGTTGTGATCTCTTTCTGTCGAAGTGGCCGGGTGAGGCTATTGGCAAGGAGTTTTCCCTGAAGCTCTTAGGGGAAAACCTCATAGACTGTTGACACTACACCCCCCTGTCCAGAACCCGCTGACTATGCAGAATAACCATACTTTCCCGATTTTTACCCGAACTTGGGTGCACTTGTCATATAGTACACAAAAAGCTTCAGGGGAAGAAAGTCTCTCCTGCCTTGAGCAAATCGGACTTTGGAGTTAACGTTCTGGTATTGAAGAAAATAATAGCTGACTTGCTCGTGGTCAGTGCAAGAGCCTAGACTCCAATTCCAGTGCTCCTTCTGCACCTCCCTGCCGCCAGTGTCTTTCCGCTCTTGGTAAATGCTCTGACCTGCTTCAAACCTGTAGAACAAACTGCACATGTATAGTGCTGCTTTCCAGTTCTGTGAACAATCTATGCTTCAGTTTCCTCATCTGTAAAATGTGTGTGAATAATAGAACCAGCTTCATGGGAATATTGGGAAAATCAAATGAGATAGCATATGTCGAGAGCTTAGGACAGGGCCTAGTGCAAATAATTAGTGTCAGGCACCCAACACATGACGCTCAGAAACCTGAAAGAGCTGCAAGGGCTAAATGGGAGTCTGCAGGCCTGGCTCCCAGCCCCAGTCTGCCACCAACTCACCATGTGAGCTTTCTCTTTGTGAGCCTGTTTCCTCAGCAGTAAAATTAGGAAGGAGAGGGAGTAGGGAAAGAAAGACTCTCTGATCTCTCTTGGCTCATCCAAACTTGACTCTCTAGAATAGAATTAGAAGGGGAGTTCAGTTCATTCTTATGGATGTTTTTAAGGGTATTCCATAATTTCAATGATCTCCAGTTTTCTGAGACCAGAGGTTCCTGCCTGAATCACACACAAATCCTAGTAAAATGCCACCAGCTTTCAATTATTTATGGCTTACGTATAATAGGAGGTAAGACAATAGCTATCTCCCTTGCATCCTGTACATTAGGTTTCAGGGTACATAATACAATTTCCTGTGCAACTTGGTAGCCTTTATAATTGTTCAGCAGAAACTGCTCTTTAGAGAAGCAATTCTCTGAGTCTGTGCCTGCTAGGAGTAGGGGAAGGAGCCAACACGCATGATGGTAGTGGAAAGGGGTCTCAAATTCAATGTCATTGGGTCTTCATGAATCAGAGGCATGAAATTGATGCCAGAGAGCTAGGCTGATCAGAGCTGGCTTGTGTCTTTCAAGAATTTGCATCCTGGCCAGTGACCAGCCAGGTCCCACAAAGACCATGAGCAGCATGGAAGAGATAGACTGTGGGCCGTGAGGGCACCCATGCAGGGAGAGGTCATTTACAACCAAAGGCGACAGGGAGGGCTTCTTGAAGGTGGTGGCATTTGGGCTGTATGTAGCCTAAAGGATCAGTGGGCAGTTTTTTCCTACACAGCATTTTGTCCTTTCAGCCAGAGCCCAGTTTTAGAGACTGTCTCAATTCTTAGAGGAGCAGACCCCATCAGAGGAGAGAAAGCGGTTGGACATCTGGCAGAGCTGACTTATAGACCCCTCTTTGTAGCAGTCACCAAAGGGCCCTCCCCCTGACAGACATCAATACTTCAATTCAGGGAGTGCTGAACGATGCCTGCTGTGGCGCAGACCCTGGGCTGGGTGTGGGGGGCCCAGATGTATCCTGCTCAGCCTCTGCCCTCAGGGAACTCTCAGAGAAGAAGAGCTTCATGTACAAAGACAGCCAGATAAACAGTGGCAAGGGCCATGGGACTGGGGCAGCCAGCCTCACTGGGGTCAGAGGCAGGGCATGAACCCCCCACACTCAAAGATGTGAGAGTAAAGAGCAAAGTGTGTTCCATGTCACTGTGGGCATCTGCCTGGTGGTGGTATCCTGCCCCATCCGTGGGAATCGCCCACAGAGTTCCTATTTGAACCGAGCCCCCTGACCTGTTGGGGCCAAACTGAGAATATAGCCACTCTCTTCCCCCTCTGCAAACATTTAATGAGCACCTGCCACATGTCAGGCATTGGGTCAGGGTCTGTGGGTTGTTCCTACACATGATTTAAGGCACATGGTGACCTTTGAAGTCAGATGGACCTGCGCTTCACTCTCACCATTAACTTGGGCATTTCTGAACCTCAGTTTTCTCCCTTACAAAATGGGGATGCTAATCCCTACCTCACAGGGTGAGGCTTTGATGAGGTAATGAACCTAAGGCACATAGCTCCCTGCTTTGGCACAAGCTAACTTCCAATTAAGGCTGCTCTCTAAGGGGTTGCCATTCAGTTGGAGGATGCATGTTCAGGAGGGAGCATAATCTAATGAAAAGACTGGAAATCTGAAGATTAGACTTCCTGGGTTGTGATTCGTAACTCTTTGTGTCTCTGTTACACCATCTATCAAATGATTACTTTTCCTAAATGTGCAGTGGCCCCAATAACACTGAATTCACAGGGCTATTGTGCAATAAATGAGACAAGTGAATGTGGATGGGCTGTCTAGAACAAAAAGTACTGGCTATGAGATATACAAGATGGGATGATGAATATATGGGGTGCATTGGGAAGAGCACTGGTTTAAAAGCCAGGAGACTTGGCTCTAGTTCTGGAATTTCCTCTAATTTGCTGTGTGGCCTGGAACAGATCCCTTCCCCTCTCTGAGTTTCCCTATTTTACCAGTAGGCTCCGTGCTCTCTCAGATCCCTTTATTGGGGACATTGTGATGCTGCCTTTGGTCGATGCAAAATGAGTGGGATTATCTACAAGGGCTCCACAGGGGAGTTCCCCAGGGGAAACTGAGGATGAGCGCTGAGGGTGGTCAGGACTGGCAGCCAGACCACCTAGAAAACTGCCCTCGCCCCAAGAGACCACCCCAGAATTCTGGCTAGGGACCATTCCAAGCCCATGGAGCAGATCTTGATGGTCAACATATCTTCTCTGGGTCTGTGAAAATCTGCCTTATTTTCAGACTCTCAGCCAAGAAGCTCTCACACCTCCTCCCAGTGTCAGGTCCAGATCACAGCCTAGAAGCAAGCTCAGGCTGAGCCCTTGGGAGCTTTAGGGATAAGGGGACTGGAGGGCCATTCAGACAGACAGGAAATAGGAATTAAGAGGGAAAACAATGCTGAATTTTGAGCCAGAAGACATAGATTCCTATGCTGGCTTTGCTCCTTAGCAGCTGTGTAGGCCGGGCAAGCTGCCCTAGTTCCCCAAGCCTCAGCATCCTCATCTGTAAAATGGAGCTTTTGTTAGGCTCACAGGGGGGCAAGGTACATAGTGATGCCAAGAAAACTGTGAAATGAGGTTTTACTGTGATATAGGGAATGGGGGGAGAGGAATAATACTGCAGAGATTAAGGGGCCAAGAGACTGGAAAAAGGGATGGCAGAGCCACCTGCCCTGAAAGGGGTGCGTCAGCCTCCGACAGATGGTCCCTGAGGAGGGACCAGGCTGAGAGGCAGTGACGTGTGCAATGCTAACCCAATACCCCTAGAGACGCCTTATCCAGCCTGAGGAACAAAGGCCGGGTTCTTAGTATACCTTGGCTCTTGGGGCTTGTCCCGAGTGAAGCTTTGTAAACAAGCTGCCCTACAGATCTCAGAATCTGGCCATCTGATCCCTGGACTAGCATGCTGGGCCATCCCTCCCAGGAGCTTTCACTGGTCTGTTACCAACCCTTCTTGTCCAGATGTCTGAGTGGCGATACCCTCTTCCAGATGTAGCTGGACAAAGCCAGGGGCACAGCAGCAGGATTGGACAAATGTTGATCTGGTCTCTCCTGCAACCTCTGATGAAAATGATCCAACCTCTGATGCCAAGAGAGTAATCACGGAGGCTCGGGCCGTCCTGGTGAGCCACACAGGCCCCCGTTTCACAAAAGCCTAGGACATAGATTTTATGGTGTTACATCTCAGTTCCCAGAAATGCCAAAGATGAGGGCAGAAGAAGGGAGCTCAACCATGAGCTCTGCCATGTTCCAAGCATTTGCTGAGTACAGGGGCTACAATGGTGAACGAGACAGACATGGTTCATAGCCTCATGGAGCTTACAGACTTGTTAGAGATAGACATTAATCAAATAATCATGTAAATAGAAAACAACAAATGGGTATAACTGCTGTGAGTACAGGATGCTGGCGGAGAGTAGAGTAGGGGATACCTAATGGGGGAGGGGTGTGTCAGAAAAGGCTCCCCCAGGAAGGTGACATTTGAGTTGAGACCTGAAGGGTGATATAAGTTACTAGGCAAAGGGGCTTGGGGGTGGTGGGGAGCTGGGGAGATGAGCATTCTAGACTAGGGGAGCAGTATGTGCAACCACAGGAAGGAATTAGTACATTCACAGGCTGGAGCACACAGTGCACAGGAGAGGTCAGTACAGGAGGTCATAGGGGCCAGCTGAGTCACCTGAAAGATGGTGGCCTTGATCCTAAAATCACTGGGAAGCCTCTGAAGAGTTTTAAGAGCGTCACAAGATCAGATTTGCACTTAAATGATCACTCTGCCTGCTTGTAGGGGGTAACAAGGGAGCAAAGGGACCCAACAATAGACTTGCAGTTGTCCAGATGAAAGATGACAGAGGCTTGGTCCTGAGAGCAGCAGTGGAGATGAGGAGGACAGGTGTGAGATGTGTTTTAGGCACGGGACCGGCAGGTTTTGACAAGGTGGGGTGAGGACTCAGGACGAATCAAAGATGGTGGCCGGGTGTCCGCCTTGCCGAACTGGGAGATGGGAACCCAGGGAGAAGAGGAGAAATGTGAGCTCATGGGTTCCTGTTCAGATGTGTGGCTTTTTGCATTTGGAATGGCAGAGGAGTCACCTTGTGTAAGGTTATTTGTTGATGTGTTGTCTCCCCATGGGAGCTGGGCGTCTGGCGGGTGGGGTCTGGCTGACCCGTCCAGTCCAGCCCTGGGCCTGAATGGCACCTCCCAGGTGTCGGCCAAATGAATGATCCTCTGTGCAACCCAGTGAATCCCTTCCATTCCAAAAAGCAGGAAACAGTTAAGAGGGCTAGCGGTTGGGTTGGGGAGGATTTTGGTCAGTCTGGGCAGGAAAACTAACCAACCCCCTTGCCCCCCCCCCTCAGAGCTGAGCCTCTTCCCTGTAATGGGAACTCCTGGGGTGCCAGCAAACATGCATCCTTTAGCCAGGAGGCCGACGTGAGGCAGGGCTGAGGCTTTCTGGGGAGGCCAGAGCAGTGTCCCGAGAGTCCAAGAATGGCCTGTGACCCGGTTGCCGCTCCCCCTCGCCCCCAGCCGTTCTGCGTGGGAGGCGGCGGCAGCTGCAGCCCCAGCGGAGGGCGGGCGGCCGTCTCGCCCGGCCCGTGGGAAGCGGCAGCATCTGCTCTTTCCACGCTCGGTCCCAGCGGCTCCCTCTGAAACCCAACCCGCCGGCCGGCCCCACCGCCGCTGGCCCGTGCCCTCGCCTGCCCCGCCCGGGGATCGGGTTGCAGGAGCCAGAGTGGCCAGCCGCAGTTCCCGATGCCCGCCCTCAGGCCAGCCTCAATAAAAAAGAGGGGCATGGAGCAGGGGCGAGAGCCAAGCACCCCCATGGCCCTAGCCGCCCTAGGGCAGGAAACAGAGTGCAAGGGAGGACTTGGCCCAGGGAGAAATGGGCCCCGGGGAGAAGGGGAGAGAATGGGTCGCGCCCACGCCTGCCCTGCACCTCCTGCCAGCTTGGAAGACCACAGCGACCCAGGAGGGGGCTGTGCCAGCCTATGAGGTCACCCCAGGCCAGGGAGATGGTTCCCCCAGCTCTGAAAAATTTGCCTTTCTCTTCCTCTCCAGCCAGATGGCCAGGCCACTATCCACCCCCAGCCCTTCACAGATGCAAGCCAGGAAGAAACGCAGAGGGGTGAGTGTCTCAGCAGAGTTGCCCAACAGAGGTTTATCCTGGGTTCCTAGGGGCCTGGCCTGGAGAACCCTGGTCAGAAACATCACCCCAAGCTAGACTGCCTCGGCTCAAATCCTTGCTCTGCCAGTAGCCAGAGAGGTGACTTTGGGCAAGACACTTAATTTCTCTGTGCCTCATTTCAACTGTGTAACAGAAATAATGATAGTACCTACCTCAAAGTGTTGTTTTGAAGATTAAGTAACTTAATGTAACATACTCTGAACAATACCTTATATACAATTAGCCGTTATTATTTATCCCAGCCTTCCTCCTCTTCTCACAGAGCCCAGAACTTTCATTTTCTCTCTGTGTGCTGAAGGGTGAGTGAGGGGAACAGAAGGAGGAGGCACCCCTTCTTGCTGTTGGCCATCTTATCCCAGCCCCACTTTGCCCCCAAGACGCAGCTGTGCTTCTGCACTGGGAGCCCAGAGACCTGGAATCTGGCAGAGACCACCCTGCCACTCACTAACTGTAAAACCTTAGTCAAATCACTTCTATCCAGTCCTCGCGTTCTTTACTTATAAAATGGGGGTCATAATTTCTCCACTATCAGTATTCTGCTACCAGTATTGGGAAGTGAGAATGGGACAGTGTGAATGAAAGGCTTTTGCAGCCAGAGAGGACAATGCCTGTGACTCCTCAGACCTCATGACCCAGCAACTGACAGGTACCCGTGGCCCAGCAGGGGCCTCCAGGGCCTGCTCCAATGCTTTGGCTGGTTTCCCTGTTCTGATTGGTTGGTGCCCTACTGTACCAGTGGTTAAACATTTTAAAGGACCCCCTACAGATTGAGGCAAGAGATCTGAATCCTATTCCTAGCTTTGCACATCCTTGCTGTGTGACCTTAAGCAAATCACTGCCCTTCCCTGAGCCTCAGTGTCCTCCATAAAGTAAGAATAGATTTATCTCCCCCACAAAATTATTGAGGGGAAAATAGGAGTCAGTGTCCATCAAGGCTCGTTAAAAACTGTGACGAAGTGTGCCTATGTGTAACATCTTGTCACTGTTTTTTAAATTTTATTTTATATATTTTTTAGCTGAGCCAACCTGCCACCTGTTGGCAGCTCAGCTCAGGCCGGGAATCGAACTGCTAGTTGCTCAGGGTTCACACTCTCGAACGAGCTCTTAACCAACTGAGCCACTCGGCCGGCCTTTTGTCACTGTTTTTTTAGATCATAGAGAAACGGCGTCGGGATCGTATCAACAGCAGCCTTTCGGAATTGCGGCGCTTGGTCCCCACCGCCTTTGAGAAGCAGGTATGTATGTGCATTGCCGATTGTGCTGGAGGAAATCTGTTCGGGTGGCAGATAAGGTTCATGTCTCATGGCAACACTTACTGATTGGTAGCAGCTGTGACATCATTTACTGGTCTCTGTCATAGGCCAGGGATAAGGGGAATGGAGATTTATACTTACTGACGTGTCTCAGGTGTTGTGGCTTATGTCCATCATCCCATTGCACTGAATCCTCAAAACGCCCCTGAAGGGTAGGGATTATTAATGCACAGGTCAGGAAACTGAAGCACAGAGAGGTGAAGTAACTTATGCCTGGTCACATAGCTAGTAAACAGCAGAGTGGAACTGGAACGCTGAGCTCCGTGATTCTTATTCCTCTGTACTACTGACGTTTCCAGAGCTATTTGAAAGTGGAACAGGGTGCTCAGGGAGCAAGCACTCTGCCATTGAGCACGTTGGGGTGGAGGGACAACAGTGGGAGGTCAGACAGTTGAATCAATCAGACAGCCTCAAAGATTCTCCCCCTGTGCTCCGAGGCATGGCCATAGGTCATGTGCCTTCCCTTATGCTGGTGAGAACAAGTTAGTCATTCCACAGACAGCCACTGAAACCTTCACTAGTCCAGCCATGAACTAGATCTGCTACCTGCCTTCAAGGACTCTCATGGAGAATCTGACCCTCTGGTTTCACCTGGGAGACCAGGTGATGCTGGAGGCTTAGAAAACATTTCCCAAGAGAGAGAATGGAGGAAGGGCAAGTGCTTTGGGGGTAAGATGATGAGCTAGATCTTGGGCGTGGTGGATGTGAACCCGGATCCCCCAGCACAGCTGGTCTAGGAGGTAGGTGGATATGCAAGAGTGGCATTCTGGTGATGGTGTATGACACCACAGAGATAACGAGACCCTCTGGGGAGGGTGTGCAGAGTGAGAAAAGTGAGCCCACACCCACCGGTGACACCGCCATTTTAAAGGACAGGCAGAGCAAGAGGCAAAGTGAAAGGAGAACCAAGAAAAAGTGGTGTCATGGACGTGACGAGAACAGGGCTTTCAGGAAAGATGGTTGGCAGAGCAGTGGACAGATGGACTAACATGAGAACTGAAGAGACTGTTAGATTTGGAGACCTTGGTCAAAGCAGAAGCCCCAGTGCAGGCAGTGGAGGGGCGGGAGGAAGGTGAAAACAATTGAAACCGTGAGTGCTGGTGACACTGCAGGGGAGATGCGCGACAGAGGTCAGCTGGAGGCCTTCACTCTTCTGTCTCCCGTGCACACAGGGCTCCTCCAAGCTGGAGAAAGCTGAGGTCCTGCAGATGACGGTAGATCACTTGAAAATGCTCCACGCCACAGGTGGGACAGGTACTGATGCTCTGCTCTCCTGGGAGTCATTCATGCAGCCAGTATTTGGGGGCTGGGCCCTGGGGATACACTGGTGAGCAAAGTAGACACGCTCCCTGCCCCTCATGGAGCTCACAGTCTATAGAGAGGCTGAAGCAGACCCAGGTGGAACACTCACAAAGCTTGTCTCTCTTTTCCTTTTTTGGCATCTGCCTCTCCACTCTCAGTGTCTCCATTTGTCCCAACTCTTTCCTCAACTCCACTCCTTCCAGCCTAGACCTTGGAGGAGCTCTTCTCCAACAGACCATTACTACTGACCCCACGCACCGCAGGGCCTCGTTAAGCATTCCCCTACATGAGCTCATTCTCACTGGGATCCCCGTGGGAGGGGCCTGCCTGAGACTTTTAGCCACAGATGGTTGGTCCACTGGTCTAGCCTTCTGGGCTGTTGTGTCCTTGGCAGGACGGGGGTGATATGTCGTGCTCACGGCCCAGTGAAGATCAGTTGTGAGATCATAGTAGAATACAAATATCACTCCTTCCATGATTTTTAGCTAGTCTGTTACAAATCAAGTTACGGGGCCGGCTGAGTGGCTCAGTTGGTTAAGAGCTCGCTCAAGAGTTTGAGCTCTGAGCAACAGTGGTTCGAGTCCAGCCCGAGCTGAGCAGCCGCTGAGCAGCCGCTGAGCAGCCGCTGAGCTGCCAACAGGTAGCAGGATGGCTCAGCTAAAAAAAAAACCAAAAAAAACCCCCACAAAAACAAATCAAGTTACGGAACTGGGGCTTTAAAAAGACTTCCGGACAAATAGAAATTTTGTCTACGTGAAGCCTCTCTGTGTATTTTGGCGATTCCACAATTATGGAACCTTGAAAGCTCCACAGACTTGGCCACAAAGACCTAAGTCCTAAAACCTTAACTTCCTCCCTTTGGAGGGGACGGCTGCCCAACCTGGGACTTCTTGTGCGGCAGTATCGTCTGGGGGCAGGCAGAGAGCCGTGGGTCACACCCCGGAGATTCTGAGGCAGTACGTGTGAATTGGAGTGTAGGAATTTGCAAGCTCAGCAAACTCGTCCAATGACCCTAATGCAGGTGGTCACTCTGAAAACTTCTGCCAGAGGAACGCATGGCCAACAGTGGAAACTTCTGTCTTAATCAACCAGAGGGGGAGAGATTTCAAACTACATTTGTGGTCACCCAATTAAAAGAAAAGTCGTGACTAATATTTGGGCAACATTTTATGGTTTCAAAATGCTTTGACTACTGTTATCTCATTTGGTTCTCACAAGAGCCTCCTGAGTGAGGTGCTGTCATCCCTGTCTTCTGGCTAAGGGACTCCTGGCTCCACTACTTACTAGGTTTATGACCTTAGCCACATGATTTAACTTCTCGATGCCTCAGTTTCCTCATCTCTAAAATGGGAATGATGAAAGGGTTTTTATGAAAACTAGATAATGCAAATTAAATCCTTAGTAAGAACTCAACAAATGCTAGTTCACAACAATAGTGAGCACAGAAGGGGAAGGGATTTGCTCAAAGTCAGCACGGCTAAGCATACAGCAGAGCAAGCACACTTGCTTCCATGGAGGGCTGACTCCAAACATCATCTCCTGCCCCGCTGTCACTCTGTGGGAGCCTCAGCCCTGAACTAGAGACCAGGAATATGCTGCCATAGTCATGAGGCCAGTGCTCACCAGGGCTCTTCTGTCTCTGCCCAGAAGGTGCTCAAGAGAAGGGCAGGTGTAAAGAGGCAGTGAGAGTACATCTGTGGGCAGGCCATCTGGGCATTCCTCACTGAAATCCAGAGGAGTGTCCCCAGCCTGATGGCAGCAGCTGAGGGCCAGAGTGGGGTCCTGCTTTCCAGACTGCCCTTTGGGCTGGGGGACAAACTGAACTTCCTATAGGGGCCAAGCCAGTAACATAAATGATAGCTAACTCTTAATCTACTGAGCATTTCTGTGCACCATTTCATTTTCCCCCTCACAATTCTATGCAGCAGGTACTGTTATATGCCATTTTACAGCTAAGGAAATTGAGGTATAGAGAGATCGAGAGACTTGTCTACCACCAAGCAGCTAGTGAAGTGGCAGAGCTGGGATTTGAACCTCCAAAGACCTCAGGCTTCACTGCTATACTGTGCTGCCTTCTCCAAGGAGTCTCCCAGCATCTGCCTGCATAAGCAGGCCGATTGTGCTACACCTCCATGGGCACAGTCCTTTCATACCTGGCCAGTGTCTACTTAAATGAAGTTATCTTGATTGCAAAGTTTCTTTTTTGCATGAGCCGTGAATTGTGCTGAACACAATACTTTACATTTTATAATGCTTTATAATTTCGTGAACTCCTTTGATTCTCACAAACCACCCCCACTACCCCAGTAGGGAGGATGATTCCCACTTTACAGATGGGAAGACGGGGGCTCAGAGAGGTGAGGTGACCTAGCCAAGGTCACACAGGGAGTGAGCGGGGGAAGCAGACCCAGGACTCAGGCCCGAGACTTGGTACGTGCCCGCCCACCAGGCACGCCCTCATTGTGCCTCACTTTGCAGGATTCTTTGATGCCCGAGCCCTGGCAGTTGACTTCCGGAGCATCGGTTTCCGGGAGTGCCTCACCGAGGTCATCAGGTACCTGGGGGTCCTGGAAGGGCCCAGCAGCCGTGCGGACCCCGTCCGGATTCGCCTTCTCTCCCACCTTAACAACTATGCAGCTGAGATGGAGCCTTCGCCCTCGCCCTCCGGCCCCCTGGCCTTCCCCGCCTGGCCCTGGCCCTTCTTCCACAGCTGTCCAGGGCTGTCAGCCCCGAGCAGCCAGCTCTCCATCTTAGGAAGAGTGCCCGGCCCTGTCCTCCCCAGCGCCTCCTCTCTTGTTTATCCCATCCCAGCTCTCCGAACCGCTCCCATGCGCAGAGCCGCTGGCACCATCCTGCCAACCAGGAGGAATTTGCTGCCCAGTCGAGGGGCATCTTCCACCCGGAGGGCCCGCCCTCTGGAGAGGCCAGCTGTCTCCCTGCCCATGGCCTCCAGCAGCAGGGCTGGCAGGAGCGGCCACGTGGCACCCCTCCTGCGGTCTTCCCCCACGCCCCCCACGCCCTCTGGTGTTCTGGGGTCCCCTGCTTATACAGGTGTTGCTGCCTCCAGGCCCGCTTCCCCAGGGCCAGCTGGGAGGCCCACAGGAGCTGTGCTGTGCCACTCCTGGGTCTCCGAAATCACGGAAGTCGGGGCTTTCTGAGCTGACTTTCCCCTCAGGAGTGAGGAGAGCTCCTTTCCCAGGAGCTCTGAAAATGGCACTGCCTCCTCTGCCCTGCCTCCTGGACTGGCTCATGTATGACAGCATCTTCTTTACCCATCAGAGGCCCCTCTTCCTTTGGCCCATCTCCCCTCTCACTGCTTGCCCCAGTTTGTCTACCCAGCTCTCCTGGAGCAGTTTTGGTCTCAGAGGCTGGTCGCACTTCTTACTTGGACAAATGAGTCCTGGGAGAGTTGAAAGAGCTGTACCCAGACCCTTCTCCTGCCCCAGTACACATGGGGCAGCAGGCATGAATCTCAGCTTTGGGAACAAAGCTTTGACCTGAAAGGTACAGTAGCCTGAGGCTGGCTGCTTCACTAGACAAAGCAGACCCCAACCAGGAGCAATGCCTGACCGGCCACAACCTTCACGGGCTGAGAGGCCGGAACATGGTGTCTGCCTTGCTTCTTGAGACAGTAATGGAGCAGGGGCAACAAAGAGGTCTCCTGGGAACCCTGTCTCCCCCTGCACACCTGTCTTCAGCCCACCCCATTGCAGTGAACCACAGCAAAGACCTGCTGTCCACCACGGCCAAGGCCTTTGGGCTGGGGGCCCAGCAGGGCCTGCTCCTGCCCTCTTCCCAGCTGCAGACACCCACCCTCCAGCTGACCGACAGTTCCCTGTACACCACTAGGAGGTTTCCTGGGATACTCTCCCAGACAGGAGCCAGGACTGAGCAAAGAGCACCCAGCTCCCTGCTTCTCATACCGTCACCATCCTCCAGGCCTGTGGTCCCCGTTGGGTGCACAGCGTGGAGAGCCATGTTCCCACGTGATGGCGTCCAGAGAGGAGTTCTCTTGGGATTCAGCACCAGACATTTGTGCTGCCTGGTTTGCATCCGGCTCACGGAGCCCAGACTGCTAGGACAGCCAAGGGCTGTCAGGCTGGACAAAAATAACCGCGAGGAGGGGCAAGAGGAAGGACTGTCAGGCGGCTCGGCCCTGCAAGGTCACACAGTGGGTCGAGGGCCTGAGATCCTGTTCACCCAGGATTCCATGCAGCCTGCTCTGCTCAGAAGCTGTTTCATTACCCAGCTCCAACTCGGGCCACTTTTCCTCTAACAGAGGAAACAAATGGCCCAGCGACCATTCCCAGTGGAAGAGCAGAGACTGGACAAGATTGGGGCAGACCTGGGACTGATATTCAGTGGCCAGTGTGCCAGACCTGTTGTTAAAATGCAGAAACACTTCTGTGCTCGTTAACAAGTACCTGCTTCTCCTGAATGCCCCCACCCCCACCGAGTGGTTTTGCCCCCCAGGACCCTGTGCTGGTTAAATGCCTGACGGACCCAAGGCCAGCTGGCAATTCGTTCTTTGGTGCTTATTCCACACTGGTCATTAAATACTTCGACTGTCATTCCTGAGAAGATTCTCCCACTGCCACCCAGAGATGGAACTACCCGCCCCAGAGGCTGAATCAAGGCGACTCTGTGGGCTCAAAAGTAAAGTTTGCAAAAACTCTAGGGAAAAAGGGCCCTTTCAGAGAAGTGGGTCAGAGGGCAGAGATCACTTAAATGACCCAGAAAGCTCTTTTGAAAAGGCAGATGCCTTGAGGAGGTCTAAAGAGCTAAAGTAATCCTTTCACTCCTCAGTGTTAGTTCGATCAGATTGCTGTCCTCCTGGACCCATGTGAGATGTCAGCATTGAGGAGGCCTTCATATCAGGGTTGGGTCACTGGCCTGAAGCACTCCTGAGGGAGATGGCGAAGGGGGGCAGGGCCGTCGGCAGGTTCCCGGGAATTGGGAGAGGGGGACAGAGGGAGGTGGCACAAGGCCCATTCCATCTTTCTCACAAAAGGCAGGAAGCACTGTATCCTTTTCCTCCGCCCCCTCCCCCCTCCCTGACTCTCCCAGGTGGTGGCTCAATGCTCCCAGGATACCAGGTCAGTGCTGCAGCCCTGGGGATTTCCTAGCAGGAGAATCCAGCCTCTACTCATAGTGGGGCTCCAAAAAGATCTGTTGAATGAGTTGGAATTGGCCCGGAACTTTCAGCATCTTACTTGATCTTGGGTTCATTCTCCCCGAGAGGTTGGGATGGGGGTGGGGGGTGGGGAGGTGACTGGATATGTTTTTCTCTGTGGTTGAGGATTTGTATCTTTTGTTTATATTCCCAAGCCTTTCTGGTGCCTCCGACTCCCACCCCATTGCTGGGGTTGTTGCAGACATCCAATAAAGTTTTCTTAGTTCGTCCGGAAACCTCTGAGTGATTCTACGTAAGTTCTCTCGAGTCCGTCCACTTCTCTCTGAACCCACAGCCATCCCCTTGGGCTGGCCACATCACCTACCGCCCAGCTCACTGCTCGCCATAGACCAGCTTGCCTGACTCGCCTCTTGCTTTGTCAATCAGTTCTCAGCAGCAACCAGAGAGAACTTGAAACATGCAAATTGTATCATATCAACTTTAATTTAAAACCCTTACTCTATTATCCTATTATTTCAAAGATAGAATCCAAGCTTTTCCTCTTCTGGTCTCAACCTCACTTCCAGCTTCATTTCTTGCCAATCCCAATCTTTTCTTCTTTTCTTTAGTCTTTTTTTCAACTTTATTGGGGAACAGTGTGTTTTTCCCAGGACCCATCAGCTCCAAATCAAGTTGTTGTCCTTCAATCTCAGTTGAGGGCACAGTTCAGCTCCAAGTCCAGTTGCCGTTATCAATTGTCCAGTTGCCGTTAGTTGTGGGGAGGGGAGAGGGGGAGAGCCCACCATCCCATGTGGGAGTCGAACCAGCAACCTTGTTGTTAAGAGCATGCGCTCTAACCAACTGAACCACCCTTCCGCCCCTCCAATCCCAACCTTGTTCCCTGTGCTTCTGCCACCTTCATTTCCTCAACATTCCAACCACGTTCCCACTTCCTGGATTTTGCTTATGCTGTTCCCTTACCCAGAATGCTCTTCTCCTACCCTTTGCATAGCTGAGCTCTTCATACCCTCAGGCCTTGTCTTAAATGTCACCTCCTCAGAGAGGCCTTCCCTGACTACTATGCTTGAACAGTTAACCTGCCTGAATGTCCCCTATTCTTTCCCTTCATAAAGAACTTGTCATTGCACATCCACTTAGGTATATACGTACTTGTTGGTTGGCTGTCTCCCCCACAAGCACGTAAGCTCTGTGAGTCCGGGACCATGCCTGGTTTGCTCTCCTCTGTATCCAACTCAAAGTAGGTGTTCAGTAAACATTTGTTGAATAAATGAACTGGGGAGGTGAGGAATCTTCCAGACTCAAGCTGTTGGATGGTACAGGGCCCTGTAGAGGTAAACCACTCACCAATTTTGGGGGGGAGGCTGGAGAGTGAAGTAAGAGCTGGAGCCAGGGGACTGGAAGTTCTGACCAGTGATGAGGAGGCTCTGGCCCAAGAACAGTGCGAGTGTGCTGGCCATGGAGTGTACACGACAGCTGAAAACAGGCAGGTCCCTGCCAACAGGTATTGTTCTCCACTCTTGGCCTGCCTCCTGAGGGATTTGGCTCACAATGAATCCAACAAACATTTGGGGAGGTCTGCTCAGAGCCAGGCCAGTCATGGCTGAGTCAGAGGTGACAAGGACACTGTCACCCTGAGGGCATGTACCCTCTATCTAAGTGACAGTTTGATGGGGTGAAAGTGGAGAGAGAGGTCTGTTGAGAAGGCTGTAGGGTGGTCATGGGGGAGGGGCGTGCCGGGAGGAAGGCTTCCTGGAGAATGAAGGGAGGCATTCTGACAGCAGAGGGAACTGTACGTGCAAAGACCTGGAGACATCAAAATGAGCTCTGGAAGTTAGCTCTTAAGTTGAGCACAGGCCTTTCGCAACAGAGCAAAAAGTAAGCTAGTCTGGGCACTAAAGCGAAGACTGTGGGTTCAGGCTCTAGCTCTGTCACTTATCAGGGTGTGGCCTTGGGCAAGTTACTTAACACCCCTGAACCTCAACTTTCTCTTCTATAAAATGGGGATGATGCAGTAATGGCTACTGTTAGCTGAGTGTTAACTACGTATCAGACATCATACTAAATGTTTATCTTGGAATGTCCCAATTTTACAGATGAGGAAACTGAGCCAAGACACCATCTCCTGGGCCGGCCGAGTGGCGCGATGGTTAAGAACTGGCTTGGGATGCCAGAGGGCCCCGGTTCGGATCCCACATATGAGGGCCAGTGACACTGCCCT